ATCTCGCCTCTGTCCTTGTAGTTATTCAGCCTTTACAGCGTAAAGTCTGTAAGGTCTTGTTAGCTCAGTAATCTTTGTGTCTTTGTTATAAATTGCCAAATGTTCTTTGTGGCCTTTTTTACATTTTGAATTTGTTATCAGACTTCAACACTTTATTTATATTAGGCACAGTGTAATCCTAATAATTAATAATCCTAATTGTTTTTGTCATAGTTGAGTTAAAGGAATGAGATTACATTTGTGATATATTCGGTGTTTCATTTTGTAAATATGTGATATTTTTGACTGATTTTTAACAGTGTAAAAATAATAAAATCTTTATTTTTATTCACCAACTGCTGATCTCATTCTCCACCATGTGGTGGCAGTGTCACCACAGACCAAACTGAAGTCTGCTGTTTTCATAGGATTAAACAACTTTCCTATTTTTTCAGTCTTATGCAGCCAATCATTTCTAACATGCAGACCAACAGTACTGGGTTTGACTTGTTGGTTGCTCTGGTTCACTTGGGCCTCCCTGTGCTTGCATGTGTCCTACCCAGCATACACACCACATCTCACACTGATAGCTACGATAGGATCCGGCCTCACTGCATCCCCGAATTAGATAAACAGCTAAGGAGATGAATGGATGGACATGTTACACTGTAACAGGTCCTAAAAGACCTTACACCATTGAAGATATTGAGAGCAGGACCTTGAGCGTAAAAGTTGCAAATATAGCAGAGACCACAGCAAGTGCACTTTAATTAAACTGCATGCATTAAAACAGGCCTCTGAGGCGATCATACAGCTTGTACATTGATATGAAATGTTGCAGGCTTTTCCAAATTTTCAAGACTTATTCATTGTGAATGCAAGCACTTTCTCTTTTACAGTTTTCATCATAGGGTGATTAAAGTAGCTGCTCCTCAATGCTGACCAAAATAACACTTTCCTGTGATTGTTTTAGCGGCCATTGTGTTGTTGTCTGAAACTAAACCCACCCATGATCCAAAGTTGTGCCCTTCAGTTGGTCTAACTGTATTTAATATGGCGAATTGGTCCACATATGCTTATATAAATGAACCTAAATAGGTGTAATGCATCTTCCAGACTTTATTCTGTAGCTTCTCTCTTTCTTGTTTACTTCTTTTTCTCATTTGCTTGCTGCAGCTTAAGAGAAAAGGCAATGAGGTCCTTCTTACCTTGATAATTTTATTTTATCTGACCCCCAAAGACCACACAACAACAACAGTAAATCAACAAAACTTAATTATATCTATGTGTATACTGTGTGTAGCCCAGATCCCACGCTAATTATGCACTGCATCAAGCTTTTCACATAGTTTCTCACCGTTTTAAGGAACTTGACATTTTTATCTCAAACTTAAAGCCCTAAGTTTCTGGAAGTGATTATCTACTGAGGCAGCCTTTTATTTCTTATCCTGATTATTGATGTTGGGCACTTAGTTGCACTGTTTAAACCATTTGTAACCTGCTCTACGTCTAAGTTATTTTTAGGTTATACACATTTGTTTCTGCTCATCATAGGTCTCAGATTCATCCACTGAAACAGTGAAGTGATAATACTGAGCACATGGTGTATTATCTTGAATTTGGCCACAAAATGATTGATGTACCTTTAGTGCAGCTTGTTGAAGAGCTTAACTTTCTATGGTGTCCTAATTTATTGTTTCCCAGTATCAAATGAAAATAGCGCTATGTCTTTGTTCGTCTGAAAATGTCTGAATTTACATGGTTTTACAAAAACAAACCTGATTTGTCCTTAAAGCTGAGGTACTCAAATACCTACTTCACTGACATCTGATATATCCATTCTCTTTAAAATGGCTTTACAAGCTCCTGAAGTTGAACAATGACACGATTGTTCAATTGGCAGTTTGCCCCATAATTGGTAGCATTTCTTCTCCACTGTATAAATTAGTTGTATGCAAAACAGGCAGCTGTATAAATAGTGTTAAATGTAGTGATCCTTTGACTGCTGCAGACTGAACTGACGTTTGCCTCTGTGCTTAAATTAGAATGCAATTGCATTCCTTGGGGGTCAAACATATCCATAAACATGTTTTCTCTCCAATAGATGACCATCTACGGACATGAGGGTGAAGAAAAAATACACATGAAACATGCTGTATGTACGAGATCTTAATATGACAGCTCGTTTTTATTGCTTCGAGGGAATCCTCCACATGTACGTGCTTAATTGCTTTAGCCATTCTGGCTGGTTTACTATAAACAGTGACCTGTTTGAATTCACTTGCTGCGTGTTAATTCATTTGCTGTGTGTAAATAAAATACAGATGATTAACATTTGATTTCTAAGTGAAAATCCTGCTTAGGTTTATTTCATTTGGAGTGGGATTTTGCCATCATTCACTCAGAGGTTTTAATCCATGTTCACTCCCGCTGTCTCCTCCTTAAAGGTGTGTCAGGACAAAGTTTAGAACAGATTAACTTTCAATACAAATAAATAATAATCCTTCCTTCTACCTTCATCCATTATTATGGCTCTTATTCTGGAAAATGATCCTGTTATACACTGTTTAGTTCAGAGGGAATCCCAAGTCTCTGTGTACTTGTTTCAAAGGCATTAGCCTCAAGCTGCAAATTGTTAATTTCATATTTTATCTCACTGAAAATAACAAGAAAATAACAAGTCTTTCTCTTATGTGCACTAAACAGAAGCTATAAACCAGTTGTCTGTCACAGCTAACTGCAGGTAAATAGAGTTAGAGTTTGGAGCCATAGGAGTAACTTTGTTTGAACAACCCTGTTGCTATTGAACCATATTTAGTCACTGGGGCTTGGGGTGGTTGCCTGTGCTAGACTTTGAAAGTAACACAGAAAGCTGCAGAGATTCCATACAGACGCCATTCTCCTTATATGGCACACACTGCAACTTCTCTGTTCAGTGTATCTGTTCCTCTTTCCCTCCTCTTCACTCTTCATCCCTCCCACTGCCTGTCTGTGCTGAGTTTTTCAACCCATGGTCCTTTTCCACGAATGCCACCCCATCTCCTTGATGTTGGCCAGAGGGAACCTGAAGGCCCTTAATGTTGGTCTGTCATCAGTTTTTACACAAACAGACACACACGAACGCAATGCTATGTCTCTGGCGCAGTTATCAACCAGCAGTTTGATTTACCGGGACAAACAGAAAAGTGTCCTTATAAAGGAAGTTCCATTGGAAAGAAGCTGCACACAGGAGGGATGCAGCAGGACAGGGGGAGGAGCTGTTTGCTGTGTGTGTAGCAACAGAAAGATGGGATGTGCACACACACTCACACACACACACAGAAAGAAACTCACATTCATTATGCGAATTATGAGTTATGTACTGGTGGGAAACTCTCCAGGGAGGTTACAGTAAAAGGGGATTCCTATGCAGGGGACAGCTGGTTTTCCTTATGAGGAGTGGGAACGCATTGCATAATCTTTAAACCCTATGAACGTGTAGGACTGAAGCACACAGTTTTATAATTATGATTCCTGTTCATTTTTTCCCACTGTTTAGCCTTATTAGATTCAACTCAGAGGTGTGTGGAAATAAATAATACAAAATAAGGAATTGCAATTTGAAATAATATTTTATTAGACTGCAGTTAAATTGTCTAAATTGTAAAGACTTTCTTGATTGCCTTTGAATAAATTCTTTGAAACATGACACCTGTAAATTATGTTAAAAGGGTTTTTCTACAGGGAAAGTACATAGAAATACATTTTAATTATATTGAAAATGTACTGCCACAGACAGAAGACAACTCCATCCCACACATCCACTCCTACAGCCATTGTAGAATAACACATACATCACCTAACATGCATGTCTTTAAACAGTAGAAACTGGAACACCTGGAAGAAACACAGACATAGAGAGAACATGCAAACTGATAACAACAGTTAATTATGATTCAAGGCGCCCAATAAACACTTGGCTTGATTAGTGCTGAATTACTAAATATTTTTGAACCAACTCTTTCCAAAGAAATTAGTTAAGACAGCAAGTGATAGCATGTTTTTAAGATTAGACTCAAATTGAACTAATTATTCGGCTTCTGTGTATATTGTGGGTCCAGCTTTTATGATTCAATTAATGGAAACAACAAATCAAGTCATGAAATGTTCCTAAAATCTGTCATGATGCATAAAGAATAAACACATAAATTCAAGTTGAGCTATGCTGTTTACCTACAAACACACATTTGGCTTGTCCATTTACAAGAATGTAAAGTAATTGAACTAACTCTTTGGACAGGAGGGAGTGGAGAGGATGTTCCCTTTGGTAAGGTAATACTATAACACATTTTCTTTCTTTCTTTTCTTTTTTTAATATAAACTTCAGTTACTTTTAAAATATGAAGGTTTAGTTATCTAGTTTTATACAAATGATCTCATTTGAATTAATAAAAAACAAGTTATTATTTAATTTAACACAGTATCACTGACACTAAAATATCTAGTGTGTGAGAATTTGAGTTAATCGGTCTATTAATCTGAATAATGTGCTTATGGTAGACTCATAACCAAGACGTAAAATGAACCTTGCTGTGTTACATAGGCTTTATTATTTTTAGGGGTATTTTAATGTAGTTTGGCTCATGATGTAGTTCATTTTAACGAGAAGTTCTATATCAATTTGGATCATTTTATTTATAAAAAATATGTCACATGTGTATATATATATATATATATATAATATGTCATATGTATTTATATATATACACGTATGTTACAAGTTTTGTAACATAAATGTTGTGGATTTAGATGTACTGGATTTGTTAGCTGCAGTCAATTTCAAGATATTAAAAAACTTATGGAACGTTTTTAAAACTCTATTACACGCCAATTTATTTTACAACCATAACCTGACCTCACAGCCCGTGTGTGCGCTAGTCTTACACACAAACGTGATGTCTTTGTGCTGGAACAGTAAGCATGGAGATTAGGGAGTTATGGTGTTTTCCATTTTACTGTTGACTGTTATATATG